GGCTATTGATTTTTGGGTGTTGACCTTGTATCCAGCTACTCTGCTAAAAGTGTCAATTAAGTCAAGAAGTCTTTTGGTGGAATTTTTTGGGTCTTCAATGTAGAGTATCATATCATCAGCAAATAATGACAATTTAACTTCTTCCTTTCCTATCTTTATTGCTTTAATTTCTTTCTCTTGTCTAATTACTATGACTAATGTTTCCAGAACTATATTGAAGAGGAGTGGTGATAGTAGTCATCCGTGTCTTGTTCCTGATTTTAACATGAAGTTTTTCAGTTTTTGGCCATTTAATATGATGTTGGCTGTTGGTTTTTCATAGATAACCTTTATTAAGTTGAGATATAGATCATCTATTTCAATTTTTTTGTAGAATTTTTGTCATGAATGTGTGTTGAATTTTGTCAAATGCTTTTTCTGCATCTATTGAGAGGATCATGTGGTTCTTGACTTTGTTAATATAGTGTATTTCATTTATTGATTTACATATGTTCAACCATCCTTGCATTCCTGGAATGAATCCATCTTGGTCAGGATGTGTGATCTTCTTGATGATCCTTTGTATTCTGTTTGCTAGTGTCTTATTGAGGATTTTTGCATCTATATTCATTAAGGAGATTGGCCTGTAGTTCTTTTTTTTTAGTTACATCTTTCCATGGTTTGGGAATCAAAGTGATACTTGCTTCCAGGAATGAATTTGGAAGTATAGCTTCCCTTTCAATTTCATTGAAAAGTCTGAAGAGTTATGGCAGTAGTTCTTCTCTAAATGTCTTGTAAAATTCAGCAGTGAATCCATCAGGACCTGAGCCCAGATCCTTCTGAAGAACAAAGTAAATAGTATTTTGGAGCCTCCCTTGGATACAAAAACAAATGAGAGGATTTTGCTTTATCACATACACAGATGAAGAGCCATTCAAATGGTTAGAAAGGAGATACTATCAAATTGGTTCTGGAAAGTGTGAAATCCAAGTTGCACAACCCAAAGAGATATATTGGTAGCAACAGCAACTACAAAGAGGAAGCGATGTAGTGGGTGGGCAAGGTGGTACTAGGTGTTTTGGCTGAGGTCAGGGCCAAAACTGGAATGAAGGATTTAATAACTATTAAGATCAAAGATAAGGAAATTACAATAGTGCTTATGGTGGTGATCAAAACTATAGTGACTATGGTGGGTATGATTATACTGGGTGTAACTATGGGAACTATGGGACAGGGATATACAGACTACAGTGGTCAGCACAGCACTTATAGCAAGGCATCTCAAGGGGGTGGCAATCACCAAAATAATTATCAGCCATACTATAAAGGAAGATATTGGGAGAAAACAGGAGATGCTAAGGAAATCTTGCAGGATGACATTGAAGATTGGTCTTCTGTTGTTCTAATGATTATTTTGTGAAAGACTTTCTAGTGTACAAGACACAATTGTGTCCAACTGTATATAGCTGCCAATTAGTTTAATTTTACTTTGTCCTTTGCTATGTGTTATGACTCAGTATGGATTTGTTTATACAAATTTTATTTGTATGATTTCATGTTAAACCTCAAATGAATGCTTCCTTATGAGTTTAAAATATATTAAAAAAATTTTTGAGACAAGGTATAACTATATTAATGGCAATGTACAGCACTCGTGCTGTGTCATAACCTATGGTGATGGTGATGCAGAGCCCTGGTGGCACTCAAGCAAAACCACATTGTCGCCCTAGTAGCCAAACACTGGATATCCAGGTTTAACTGCAATGTTGGCATTTTGCTATAAATGAGTTTTTGGATTGAAGTTTGGGCCCTTGGTCTCTAAAAGGTTCGCCATTGCTGCAGTATATTTCACAGACAAGACTCAAATTTGTGATCTTCTTACCTTAGCCTCACAATTGCTGGCATTATAGGAATGTGCCACCACACCCAGCCCAGGCTTTATTCTTAATGGATTTGCCAGCTTTTTAACAATCCCCAGAAATTATTCATTAACTTTTAATTTTTTATTGGGAAGCCTGAGAGATTTAGAAAATGTCTTTTCTTTCAAATTAGGTTGAAATAAAGAACTATCCTAAAGGACAGTCTACAGATAAGACTTTACCTACTAGACTGCCAGGCTGGCATGTTTGTGTTCAAGCAGAATAGAATGAGATATGGGTAATATTTTACAAAGCACGTTCAGAAGTTATACCATGTGAGTACACAGTATACCTCCTCCAATTAATCAATAATTAGTGTATTTAGATGCTCACTAAACAAATCAGAATGAAGGATACTTAAGTTCAACATTGAGCAGTCATCTTTAGTAGGAAGGGCAAGAAAATGGTGGTAGTTTTTTTTTATTAGAACAGCATTTGACAGTTGCAAATGCTTCCAAGCTTCAGTGGGGTCACATTCTGATAAACCCATTGAAAATATCCTTGAGTTAAAAATGCATTTAACACACCTGCCCTCTTATACATCATGGTCCAGCAACACAGTAGTACCCTGTAGAGTTTCTGTTGTTCACCATGTGATTGTGTGGCTGACCAGACTGTGGCTCACTGCTGTGGCTCAGCATTGTAAGAGAGTACAGCATTGTACCTTGTCAGTAGCCTGGAGAAAAAAAATAATATTTAAAAATTGCGCTATGGTTTCTGCTGAATGTCTGTTGCATTCACACCGTCAAAAAGTCAAAAAGGTATAAGTTGAACCCTCTTAAGTGGAGTAGTATCTGTATATGAAATTCAAGCAATTTTATGAGTTATCAGTATATAGCTGGTAGAGTTAGGTATTGTAAATTTTATATTAGATGTTAAATATGACATAGAGATGATGTCTTATGATGAGATAATGAAAAAGTTATAAAAGAACATGGGGAATTTAGCCATTAATTTGAAAGAAAATAAAGGAATACGACAGGCGGAATCAATTAACAATTCAACTTCATTGAGACAATGTTTATTTCATATATTTGTTACTCTACCAAGAATTTTTTGTTTTGATACTATGACAATTCAGCAAGTAAAAAAACATTTCATTGAAAAAATACTATTAAGCTTAAGCTTTTAACATATAAATATACTGCATAAAATAAATATACTACACAAAAATCTACTTATCCACAAATTGCTGTGTGCATAATTTCTAAAACACAACATTTATAAAAGTATACTTGTAGGTGGCTGCAATGTTTTCAACTCTAGGTCACAGAAAACTTACTTTGTAAAGTGCTGTGTAGTAAATATCTTGAGCTCTATTTTCATTTGGTTTCTGTCACAACTACTCAACTGTGCTGGTATAGTGTAAAGGCAGCCACAGGCAAGCCATAAAAAATCGGGTTTGTTTGTATGAGTTTTCTCAAAACACATTATTTATAGACACTGAAGTTTGAACACACACACACACACACACACACACACATATATATATATGTATATACACACACATACATATACATATATATATATGTGTGTGTGTGTGTATATACATACATACATATATATATATGGTTATATTATATACATCAATTTGTACCAGGGATTGAACTTGGGACCTTGTACTTGGATGCAGGTGGCAGAACCACTGAGCTAAATCCCCAGCCCTGAAGTTTGAATATAATTTTAATATGCCACAGAATATTCATAATTTTGACCATTTAGTAATAGAAATTTATTCTCTGCTTGTATGCTACAAAAATGGGCTGTAGACCAGATCTGGCTGATGGGCTATAGTTTGTCAATCCCTGTCTCCTAGCCCAATCAGGATCTACTTCTGAATTACTTGAAGAAAATTAAAAAGAAAAAGAAAAAAAAAATCAAGGCACTGGCAGCAATAAGGTGAGAGATAATATTCAGTTGCCAATGGTTTTTTTTGCAGAGTAATTGAGGATATGATAAGTTAAAATAATATCTAATATATCTTGAGTTTGAGATACTGTTCTAAGTGCTTTAAAAATATTAATTCATTTCAACCTCAAAGCAATCCTAAAATGTTACCAATAGTACTCTTTCAGAAAAGGAACTGAGGCATGACGGGTTAGTGGCAGGCCCCATGGTGGAATCTGAGCCAAGGTTGTAGAAGTCCAGACACTTTATCCATTATGCTTTGTCACTTCTACTAGGACGAAAAAAGCAGGGAAAAAATATTTAAGACTCTAATACAGAACACAAACACTGATAGCTCAAAACCCTGCTCAAATATCAACAGTAAAGTAAGAGAAACAATACTTCTTGTAGAGCACTCAATTTTTATTGTGTAGAGCACAATAATTTTACTGTTTTCAGCTACTTTAAAAGCAGCTCAGACTTTTGCAAAAATAAATATGTCCCTAATTCAAAATTTGGCTGTCCACACAACTGAATATTTCACAAAAACATTTCAGCTCTTTTTTTTTTTTTTGGTACCAGAGATCAAACTCAGGTCTGAACTAAATCCCAAGCCCTCAGCTTCATTTTAAAAGGCTAAGTATTTAACAATGTATATATCCATTAACAAGTGTCAGGAAGTAGGCAGAAAGGATACATTATAATTTAAAAACAGTATAACAGTACAATCAATACATATATTAACAACAGGTGTCACCTGTGAGACAATGGATTGCATCTTCCTACACATAACAGTTACTGAAGTAAGGTGATGTTTTCCTATGTACAACTACAGAGGGATTCACGTGCATGTCAAACATCTACAAGTTATACTTTGTAGCACACTTACATACAGAAGCCCTATATACAAAGATGCTTCTTGTATGTTTAATGATGTTGCCTGATCACTCATTTTGGCTTTTTAAAAATTTCATATATGTAGATATTGTAGGCTTCTTTAAAAAGAAAAAAACAATCTTGGAATCAGCAACATAACTTACTACATAAGTGCTTCCCTCAGTACAAATTCTTTTAGTTTTTTGCTGAAAATATTTCAAATACCTATGAAAGTATTATCTAAACATTTATATGACATTCAGTGGAACATCAGTTTTTTTTTTTCTTTTGAGACAGGGTCTATGTAGTTGAGACTGACCTGTAACCATGTAGCCCAGACTGGTCTCAAACTCACAGCAATCCTCCTGCCTCAGCCTCCCAAGTGCTGGGATTACAGGTATGTGCGACCTTGCCCAGCAGGAACATCAGTTCTTGATAAAGGCTCATATATTTACTGCAATCTTTGCAGTTAACCTTTTACATTTTCTAACATATGAGAGTTACTTGGTAAAATAGATCGGTATATTCAGGATACCCACAGGAATTTCTCACATGTGAGCTTTTGGGTATGTAGTGCTGACTGTCCTGACAGAAAACTTGACATTTTATTTAGGACCTCACACTTGCCAGGCAGGCACTGTGCCACTGAACTACATCCCTGGCCCTCCTATGTGATTTCTATGTTGTAAAATAAAGTGTGACTTCTGAAATAAAATTTTACTTCATGTGTTATAATTTGTTCAGTTTCTGCCATCTATATTGTCTGATAGTAAAGTCTACCATGTGGTAAAAATTTCTTAATACATTTATAGATTTTTTTTCTCTGTGCATTTGCTGATACTCTATAAGGAGAAAATTTTCCCTCTTAATCTGTGTATTATGTGATTATACTGAAGGATGAATTCAGATTCCTGACTCATATTATTTGTCACCTTTTTCCTTCCTCATGTGTGTCTTCTGATGGGCTGTGAGTTGTGACTTTTGGATAAAAGTTTCCCCACATTCCTGACACTCATAGGGTTTCTCTCCTGTGTGTTTTCTCTGATGTATGATAAAATGTGATTTCTGAGAAAAAGACTTTCCACATTCCTTGCATTCATAGGGCTTCTCTCCTGTGTGCGTCCTCTGATGTAATCTGAGGACTGAATTCACAGAGAAAGATTTACCACATTCTGTACATTCATAGGGCTTTTCCCCTGTGTGTTTTCTGTCATGTTTAGTGAGGTCTGATTTATAGAAAAAGTGCTTCCCACATTTATTACATTCAAAGGGCTTCTCTCCTGTGTGAGTTCTCTGATGCACTGTGAGGGCTGACTTCTGGTAGAAGCATTTCCCACATTCCTTACATTCATAGGGTTTCTCTCCTGTATGAGTTCTCTGATGGGTTTTGAGGTGTGAATTCCTAGAGAATAATTTCCCACATTCCTTACATTTATAGGGTTTCTCTCCTGTGTGTGTTCTCTGATGTACTGTGAGATGTGACTTCTGGGAGAATGATTTCCTACATTCCTTACACTCAAATGGTTTCTCCCCTGTGTGTGTTTTCTGATGAACCATGAGGTATGCCTTCACATAGAAGAATTTCCCACATTCAGTACACTCAAAGGGTTTCTCCCCTGTGTGTGTTTTCTGGTGCTCCATGAGGTGTGGTTTCTGGTAGAAGGATTTCTCACACTGACTGCATTCATAAGGTTTCTCCCCTGCATGAGTTCTTAGATGTCTACTAAGAGATGACAGGTGGTAGAAAATTTTCTTACATTCTTTACATTCATAGGTTTTATCTCTGGTGTGAATTTTCTGATGTACTATGAGGTCTTCATTTTTAGAAAAGGATTTCCCACATTTACCACATTCATAGGACTTGTTCTCAAAGTGTGTATGCTGATGCACTATGAAGGCAGATTTCTGGCAGAAGGACTTTCCACATTCACTACATTCATAGCTTTCCACTTGGTGATGAGTTTTCTGAAGTTTCTTCAGTCCTCCAGTGCTATATAAAAAGTTCCAAATTCATTAATGGATAATACTTTTTTTCTAGTACTAGGGATTGAACTCAGGACTGCACACTAACCAGACAGGCAATGGATAAGACTTTTAAGGCTGTGTGTGTGTATGTTTTCCAAATTACTCTGAGGATCACTTCTAGAGATGTTCCCATATTAGGCTCACAGGGTTTCTCCACTGGGAACATTCTGTCACATATTGCAGTTTAACACTGGAAAAAATAAACCTTCACCTGCATTATATCTACAGGATTTCTCAGCTGCCTGCACTTTACTTTGGATAATTCAGTAGAGTCAAAAGATGACTCTGAAGTTAGAATCTCCTGATCCTACTATGGTCTCTTATGTAAAAGTACACTGCAATTTTGATTACATTCTTTGGGATTAACTCGTGTATAAATTTTCCCACATTCAGTATTAACTAGTAATTTCTCATTCCAAGTACCTTCATCAAAACTTTCCACAAAACTTCTATTTTAAATATTAATTCTTGAACTTGCCTTGAATTACCAGCTGGGCTTTCCTGGTACTGTGCTCCAAGGTCATGGATATTCCATACATCTTCTACAAGGGAATTGAGATTTTATTACACTATTATATTTCTAGAGTTGATTCTTAGGCTTCAGACCAACTACCAAAATGAAAGAACTCTCAAATTGAAACTTCCTTTGCCTATTACTTTAGAGAAAAAAACATAAAAACACTAAAAACTTCTGTTGCAGACAAAGGAAGAAATCTGAGTATAAATAAACCCAAGCATCTCTACCACTTTAGCCTGTGACTTTAAAAATGGAGTTAAAAGTTAAGACAAAAGCAAGAACATGGAGCAGAGAACAAAATACAGAAGTGTCACTGAGCAGAAATGCGGGAATCCCAAAGAATGCTGTGATGCCATTAAGGACAATGAACAGTAAGTGGAATGAGAAAAATAGACAACTGTGTTTATTGGAAATATCAGGAAAAAGATTAAATTGGATAAAGGAGCTAACGTATAGGCCTTTCTTCCCTCAAACTTAGCTTGCTGCCTTAAGATTCCTAGTATGGTTAATGCTTTTCCCTAATCCACAGGGAACACATTCCCAGACCCCCAGTGGATGCTGACAGCACAGAGAATACTGAAGACATTGCATACTCTATTCTTTCCTCTCTGTGTGTGTGTGTGTGTGTGTGTGTGTGTGTGTGTGTGTCTAGATATGATGCCTTCACCTTGTTACTGACAGGAAGCACTTCACAGCTTCACTCTGGCATATGTAAGTTGCCAATATCCCTACCCTTGTGCTTTGGGGCCATTATTAAGTAAAGTAAGGGTGACTTGAACACAAGCCCTGCAACCCTCAACAGTTGGTCTGAGATGGCTACTAAGTGACTAACACAGATTATGTGCACAGTGTGAATGTGCTGGACAAAGAATTATTCATATCCCAGACAGAAAAGAGCAGGTAACTGAATCAACAGAAAATAAAGCGCAGACCAGGGAGAACAACTTTATGTTCTCTAGCTATCCACAACAACCCAGATGTCAACAATAAACTGTATTTCTCAGTCATTGCTTTTCTCATATTTAGAGAACAATTCTATACCTTAGGCTTTTACTCTCTGTATAGATGGTTTGATTTTCACTAGGTCAGATAGACCCCAAAACATATGTATCCAAAAAGAAGCATTTTTTAAAATGCAGAAGGCAAGCACTCAATACAACAAAATGAATTCTCAGTTGTAGAAACTGACATTTTTAATCTTGTACCTATCCTGACTACCAAATCCTGTACTTCCAAAGCATGACTACCCACAATTCAAAATAAGTCTCATTGTAAAGGTACAAGATCCCAATGATGAATGTAACTGTACTGTATACTTAACAAGTACCAAAATAAGTCTCAAATTCTGCTTTCATATCTTGGCTCCTACTTCTATGCTTTCAATTACATCATCCTCAAAGACTAGATTACTTAACATCATTCTTTTCAGATTGTGTGTGTGTGTGTGTGTGTGTGTGTGTGTGTGTGTGTATTAATCTGTAAATGCATGAAAGTAGCTAAGTGTGGTGGCACAGGTCTTTAATCCCAGTACTTGGGAGGCTGAGGTAGGAAGATTGTTGTGGGCTCAAGGCCAACCTGGGCTACGTAGGAAGACCCTTTCTCAAAAAACAAAAAATAAATCCATGAAAGTAAAAGATTCTAACCAGAGATGTGAGGTTGAAATTTCACAGCATCTGTGAAGAAAGTGATAGGGACTCATACAAGGTTAACTTGGATACACATGAAATAAGATTCTATGCATACAAAACATGACAGAATGGTAAAGTGGAGATTAATGTGTTTAGGGGCTAAAAGGAGAAATAAGCTGCTGTAGGCAAGAGAGAGCCAGACTTGTTCTCAAGAGAAAATTAATTTAAATATATTCCATAATAGTGAGTCAGCATTAGTTTACCATGACAGGCCAGTGGCAATATAAATCTGCTGTATTATACTACTACTTTTCAGAATTTAAAATAGAAGTTTGGTTGGGTATAGTGGTGCACGCTGGTAATCCCAGCACTTGGGAGACTATGACAGGAGAAACACCATGAGTTCAAGGCCAGCCTGAGCTACACAATGAGTTCAAGGCCAGCCTGAATTACAAAGTAAGACCTTGTCTCAAACAAACAAACAAACAAACAATAAATGAGAAAATAAAAGTGAGAGATATGTGAAAACCTATCCATAACTCAGATTTAAAAATAATTTAACATTATAATTAAACACTGCAGTGGTAGGGAGTCACTGGGAATTACAGAGAAAAACACAAAATTCTCAGATAAGTTTAGGCAGGGGTTAGATTTTATATACAGGAAAAAGAACTATATTTTTAAAATGTATAGCAAAGAGGAATTTAAGTAGCAAGAACAAAACTTGGGGGTATGATTCAGGTTTCTTATCTATTCTTGCAGATAAGGTGTCTGCAATCATTTCCAAACTGTAGGGAATTCAGACTCCTAAAAAATATTTTAAAAGGCAAGAAGTACTAAACCCCTCCTGATAACATGGGGTATTAACTTCTAACTCACTAGGGCCACTGCGACGTGGAAATTCCACTTCCAACATCCATGGCTCTTTTCCTTGCTTCAACTTCAAGACCACATTTGATTTATTCACTTGGTAACCTATTAATAGAAAAGATGAGGGAAATGATACAAATTGCTTGGAATTTAGGGATTCTGTAAGGAAGAACAATTTCAAGAAATCAACAAAGATCCCACTGAGGACACAAACTTTCTGGTACCCAAAATGAATTCACTACTTTGACCCTGAAACAAAGCTCGTATCATTCCCCATAGAAACCTTACATGTCCAGCAAGTGGGAAGAGAAATGGAAACTAATGGGAGTTACATATGGGGAAGTCTTTCTCACCTACTGAAACCAGATGTCTGTAATTTTCCAGCGTTACATCCTTGTACAGGGTCCTCTGAGCAGGAGTCAGTAATTTCCACTCTTCCTTGGTGAATTCCACAGTAACATCCTTTAATGTCACAGGTCCCTGGAACAACATATTTCAATTCAATCTGAAGTGACTAGTGACTAGAAAGAGTACCACTGAAAAGAGTATTAAGGAATGAGGATGTAGAGTTGGGGGTAAAATGCTTGCTATGCATGTACAAGGCCCTGGCTCTGATCTCCAGTGAAAGCAAAGAAGGAGGGAGGGAGAGAAGAGAGGAAGAGAGTAAAAAAGGGGAGAAGGGAGAAGGGAAGAAGGAAGGAAGGGAAAGCAAGGGACATACATTAAATTAGGTCCTAATTACTGACAGAATTTTCTCTGGACGGCTATGTCATGCTGACAACTCTACCCTGTTTTATGTAGACACCTGTTCAATATATATTTGCTGAGCCCACCACCTCTTGTGCCTACTACTTTGCTGAAGGTACAAAGATGAATAAAAGCAACTGTTCCTGTTACCAACTTATGACAGGGATCAAAGATGTAAAAGCTTGCAGGCAATGTGTATAGAAGGTGCTATGAAAAATACATACCAGATACAAGAGGGACACAAATTACAGTTATTTGCATTTTGTATTTTCATGTTTGATTTTATTAGGTGGTCAAACTCATGTACATTTGAGGAATAAAGAATACATAATTAGGGCTGGGATTTTAGCTCAGTGGTTCCATGCCTTCCCTGCAAGCAAAAGGTCCTGAGTTCGATCCCCAGAACAGCACAAAGAAAAGACCAAAAAGAATGTATAATTGACAAAGTGAGGAGATGGGTGAGAAATGGCAATTTTAAGAAATTGGGAGTAACACAGTATGATATGAGAATAGAGTATAGGAGCAAGGTAGCAATACCTAGTGCTAACAAGTCATGTGCAGCAAATGGAATTCTAGTACATTGTAGTAGCATTCACCCAAGAGAAACAAATCTGTGTTTACACAAATATCAGTACATAAATATTTATAATGACTCTACTCAGAATTGCCAAAAGTCAAAACAACTACTTTTCAGTATAGTGAATGGGTAAATAAAATGGGTACATCCATATAGCTGAACACCATTTAACAATGAAAAAGTACATGCTACTGATACACATGATCAAATCTCAAATGTATCATGCTTAATGAAAGAAGGCAGCCTCAAAAAAAATCCCACTTACTATATAATTAAATTTATATGATAATCAGGAAAAGCAAAATTATAGGGATGAAGAATAGATAGAACTGACTGCCAGGAAATGATGGTAGGAGGGCTACACAGGGGGAGCTAAGAGAATTTTATGGTGAAAAGAAAAAAATGTTTGATAATGAAAAGAAGGAAATAAAGTGTTTGTAGATGGGGAGGGGAGGAAGGGGTGAAGGGAGGGCAGGGACAAGGGAAAAAATGAGAACCAAGACCTGTCATGTCATGTAGAGGTACAAGATTCCAACAATGAATGTAACTGTACTGTATCCCTAAAATGTACTAATAAACTCAATTAAAGCTGAAAAAAAAGAATTGTATGGTAATGGAATTCTTTTGTTGCTCGACTGTGATGGTGATAACGTTTTTAGGCATATGTCAAAACTCAATGAAATGTATACCCCAAAGAGTGATTTCTGCTGTAGTTAAAAAAAAAAAAACAGCTCAAATAAAACAAACACCACTTTCTAGGATAGCTATTATTTTAAAAACAGAAAATAACAATGTTGGTGAATATATGGAAAAATTAGAACCCAACACTGTTAGCTGGAATGTAAAATAGCACAACCACTGGAAAAACAGTGCAGTGGCTCCTCAGAAAATTAAACAAATTACTTTAATATGGCTCAACAATTCCACTTCTGGGTAGATATCCAAAAGAACTGAAATGAGGGACTCAGACATTTGAACACCCATGTTTAAAGAAGCATTATTTGCAATAGATAAAAGGTGGAGGTAACCCAAGTGCCCACGAATGGTAAACATACTGTGTTGCATAGAAACAATGCAATATCCAACCTTAAAAAGAAGGAAATTATAATCTGTGCTACAACATGGATGAAGCTTGAAGACATTACACTACATGAAATTAGCCAGAGAAAAAGGAAACACTGTATGATTCCACTCACATGAGATGTCTAAACTAGTCAAATTCAGAGGCAAAAAATAATGTAGTAACTGCCAGAGGTTGGGGAAAGAAGGGAACAGTTTTTAAATGGGATATAAGATGAAAAAAAAAACTCTAGACATAAATGATGGTGATGGTTACATAAAAATATAAACATAATGCCACTGAATGAAATAATTAAAAACTTAAACAGAAAATGTTATACTATATAAATGTTGTTTTTGTTTTTGTTTTGTTTGTTTGGGTTTTTTTTTTTTTTGGTTTTTTTTTTTTTGGTACTGAGGATTGAACTTGCAAGGCAGGTGGCGGAAACATTGAGCTAAAGAAATTTTACCACAATTAAAAACAAATACAAAAATCAGAGCCCCCAAACATACTAAAATAGCTGTATGAGAAAATGAAAGTACAAATCAGCAGAATTTGAGGGGTTAAGCTCTTGGAAGAAAGGAAAAATCTATTAGAATAAGCTATATACTGCTGCTTAGAATTTTCAGGGCATTTCCAAGTTTCACAGCCAGGGCAAAGACAGCACAAAGTAGGTTAGAACTGGCACCTCCAGAATAATGAAAAAAAATCTAGTTCTGAGTAGAATACAGAGTGCCAAAAAATAAATTGATCTCACCCTAACAAAAGAATGAGCCCTTAACATAGGAAATTATAAGGTCTCCAAAATCAAACAGAGCCCTTTGCTTTGGTTTTACCAAGAGGAGGGTGCATGTGCATAATCTTGGGGGCTCTGCAGAGACTTCTACCTAGGACAGTTCTTTCTCCCTGGGCCTCTTCTCCCCTTCTGACCTCAAGTGTCCCTGCATCCTAGACCTCTTGTATCTGATATTGTGGGATGAGGTGAGAGCAAACCCAAGAAAGATAGTCATGCTGAGGAGCCATAGTCTCTACCAAGATGATAGTACTGACAACCAGAAAATGCTACATCAGCTGAATACCCTGTTAAAATGGGAGGCTAGATGTGAGCCAAAGGTCTGCAGCTTGAGACTAATTGAATCTGCACATGAGGAATGGCCTTAGAATTACTGCAAGACTAAGGGGTTTTTAAGTGAAATATATTTTTAGTCTAACTCAGTTCTTGGGCTTTGGTATGGAGATATTTTCTCTAGCAGTGAATTTACTGGACAGATTCCTGTCTAAAATGAAGGAACAGCCCAAGCACCTTGGGTATTTTGGACTGAGCTGCTTTTATTTGGCTGTAAAATCAATAGAAGAGGAAAGAGCACTGGCAACTGACTTGATCTGAGTAAGTCAGTATCAGTTCACGGTTTCAGACTTGATGAGAAGGGAAAATACCGTATTGGAGAAGCTGTGTTGGAAAGTCAAAACTACTACCACCTTTAAATTTCTACAACCCTATTATTTACTTACTCAAGGGAACTTTCCATTTGAAAAGAAAAATAGCTTAAGTTTTGAGAGAATAGAAGCTCATCTTAAGGCCTGTCACTGCAGGATCATATTTTCTAATGCAAAACCTTCTGTGTTGGCCTAATCTATCACTGCACTGGAAATACAAACATAGAAGTATGTAGAGTTAACAGAAGTAGAATGTCTTCAGAAACATTCCAAGATAAATGGCAGAGATCTGACCTTCTGGCAAGAGCTAGTATCCAAGTGCTTAACTGCATGTTCATCAAACAAGTGTTCCAAACTGAAGGTTCAGAAGTTGAAGTGGATTGTTTCTAGGCATACTGCATGACAACTGAAGCCTAGTTACTAAAGAATAACTCACCTTCCAACAATTACTGAAATAGTTCTTTAATTGGTACATTCTTTTTCTCTGTATAGAGAAAATTGTATATTTTTCTTCTACAATTGAAGTATTGAATTATTATCTTCAAAATAAACCAACTAGACTTGGAATAGAAAAAGGGAAAAACTAGTATCACCAATCTTGTCAGCTAACATTTGAAGATATATTTGCTAAATGTACAATACGCCAAAGAAAGGAGTTTCCAATCTGGTATATATGTTAAACATTTCATTAAATTAGCAGCTTTAATAACCTGAATTTTTAAAGTAGCCCTTGAAGTAATGGTTTTTAAATTGCACATTTTACTAGATGTGCAATTTACTAGCTCTAGCTTATTTAAAGTTATAACAGGACCAAAAGTTTGATCCATATATGCACTAATTTGAGGCTATTAGCTTATAAGCAGAATCATTATGAACTTCCATATTATACCTAAAGAAAAAGTAATTCAGCCAGGTGAGGTGGTGCATGCCAGTAATCCCAGCACTTTGGAGGCAGAGGCAGGAGGATCACCGTGTGTTTAAGGCAAGCCTGGGCCAAGGCCAACCTGAACTACATAGTGAGATCCTGTCTTAAAAAAAAAAAAAAAGTAATACAAACAAGATGAACTCTTTTGGGTTTCTGTAAATTGCCAGTATGTCTCTCAACATACTGCTATTGTAATTGGAATAGTAGAAAGTAATTATATTTATAAAAAAGTAAATTCAGTCATTGCATATATTCTATATGTTCTTGCCATTTAAATTTATTAACTTAACTACAGTAATAATTTATTTTTTCCTACTCAAAACTAAATATTAACATTCAACACATCTACATATGATTATAAACTTAGGTATGAAAAGTTTAACAGCTAGTAATATTTAAACAAACTTTTGATGATCTGGAGGTTTTTTTTGTACTGGGGATCAAACTCAGGTTCTTGTGCTTGTGAGGCAGGTGGCGAAACCACTGAGCTAAATCCCTGGCCCACGTTGGAGTATTTTTTTGTTCTTTAAATAAACAATATTATTGCAGCAACAAAAAGATTCTTTGAAGCCTTTTTCCACAACCCTGAACTATGGATTCCATAATGTTAAAGTGGATTTAAGTTATGAAGCCTCACAACATCACAGCTAGATAAGTATGATATTCTCTATCTTGGGAAAATTGCCTAATATAATGCTGTAGTAGGATTATTTAGATTTGAATTCATCTGTAAA